CGGCGCCAGGATCGGAGGCTCCTGACTAGACCGACTGGTGCATGAACTCAGTGCCCTGCTGAAGTGGCGGGTCGCTACTGGCTCTGTGTTCGGATTCCCAGGCGGCCGGGAGCGCCCCGTGTAGTGAAGTTCCTGGGTGCCCCAGGAAGGAGCTTTTTAATTGCGAAGTAGGGAGCCCCTGAAGGTGAAGGTGAAGGGAATGGATTAATCCAAAGGGAAGCTCCTTGGGCTCTTTCGCTGTGTTCGGATTTAAAGCTTTCAGAAAAATGCAGACGGGATGGCCTTACGCAATATGTATAGCTGTTCTCTCTTGGCTTCCCTCTAGTGCAGAAAAAACTTAGGTAGTGTCTCCACCTGTGTTGCTTCCACCCTCGTGTTTTGTTAGGTGGGCAGGTCAGTGCCACGGTCACCATGACAGGTATTCAGGACGGAACAATCCCCACCCCGAGGCAGAGCAGCCGGGGGCAGAAGGCTTCACCTCTCTGACCTTCTGTCTCTTCTTCTGTAGAATGGGGATGTAGGAGTTCCAACCTCGCACTCACTAAAGCTGGACAGCGTTATTTAAGGAGAGGATGCATCTGAGGTGCTCGGCTCCATGTCTGACGTGTAATAGTAACGGTGATACATGGTTGCCAGCATCAGTTTAAAGCAGGGTCCACCCACCTTCCATCTGGTTCACGTCAGACACTGACAGGCAGGAGGCTGCTTGTTGACTGAGTGATGGACCCTCTCGCTAGCATCCTTGCCCTGCGTGTGGCGTGAGGCTTCCAGGCTGCGTGGTGGTAGAGCCCTGGGTGCCCAGAGTCTGCCAGGAGCACCAGCTGCCGCCCGGCGCTCGCTGCTCTCCCTCCCGCCATCCCCGACTCGTCATAATCGACAAGGCTGGACCAATTAGGAGCAGTAACAATTAAGAGGTGCCAAGGGCATGCGAACATTTGCAAACACCTATTAAAACGTATCAATAATTAAGTGCTGCTTTAATAGTTACATTTCTGGCCTCCAGACATGTCTGTTTATGGACTTCGGGTCGCATCCTGCTTTGAGATCTGTGTCGTGGCCTTACACGTTGGTTATGAAAATTTAAAATTCGTCCCTGACTTGAATTCTGAGATTCGACAGGGAAATGGTACAGCGAGAATACGTGGGTTCTTCCCAGCTGCCGGATGCTGCAGGTGGGCTCGAAGCCGGCCAGCCAGATGCGGTACAAACGGGCTCAGCCACCGTGCAGCTTTCGGTAGGGCCCGTGCCTTCCCTTTCCTGGCCTGTCACATGCACAGAATGACAGCTGCCTGAGAGGATTGTTAGAATTAGCAATTACCTGTGCAAAATGCATGCCCCATGTATGCACGAGGTACAGCGGCTTTCGTTAGTCCTGGCCCTACCACGATGGGAGGGAAAAAAGAGGCAGCACTTAGCCGAGGGATCGAGATGACCAGTGGCTGCAAACTCAGTGCCCAGAGGGACCAGGCAGATGGCATAAATGAGAGACCTAGGCTGGGCGGGGGCTGGAACAGACAGTAGGGGTCGCTTGGATTCTGTCCGAAAGGGGGGCTCCCTCTCAGTCACAGTCCAGGGGGCCAGGCAAGAGTGCTCACTCAGGTGACTGGGGCCTCTGACTTTTTAAAGAGAATCGAGAAATCCACGTGTTTATATAAAGTCTCTCGACTTTGAAAATGTGACAACTCATTCAAACTTTTTAAAAAAATTATTGCAGGGACCAAAGAAACGTCTCTGTGGGTTGACTTGGCCGTGGCCCCGTCTCGTGACCACATGTCGACGCGGCCCCCTTTTCCAGGTAAAAGCTTTGGTCTCCAGTTCCTTTGAGCCACGGAGGCCGGTGGGTTGAAACGTACCTTTCCGATTTCATGACAATCTGTAACGAATTGGTGTGGACCGGGAACCACATCGGCTAGCCGGGGAGGAAGTAACGGAACGATCACCCGTCCAGGTTTGAGAGGTGGAGGAGGCGGGCAGATGGAGGTGCGGGTTACCGTTCTCATCTGTTGATTTTGTCCATCGTAAAATAGATAACGGGCGAGAGGACCTGATATTGGAACGCAAGGGTGGCGGTAATATCTGTGGTCAGAATTTATGTCCCACGGTAGTTACGACCCCCATGCCTGTTAGCATACTTGGCATCCAGTGAGCTTCTTGTGCACTTTGACTGACGCGGGGCTTTATTTTTATTTTTCGACACATCTGTAGTCGCGAGTAGATGGCGCTCGTTTGTAACTTTGTTTATTTATTTATTGGGCCAAATCACCCCAGCAGCTCCTCAGGTAGTTGGGTGTAATCAGGTTTGGTTTTAAATACGCTTTTAAAAGTAAAGAAATAAATACAATCGAGGCTTGGAAAAGGTGAACATTAGAGAATGGGCCTCGGCGCCATCACTTTAAAGTAATAGCCCCATTACGGAGGGGGCGATGACTTTGTAACTGTTCCTTGCCTTTACGTTGTAAGGTTGAGGGGCTTTGCGGGCAGGTTGGGCATCTCAGTAAAAGCTTTTCCAGCAGCCATTTAACCTCCATTTACGAAGAAATAAAGCGAAATTGATGCTGATTTGGGCCTGCTTTGGGGGATATTTTTGCTGCATAAAAGCTCTTTTGCTTACAATTTGCTGAGCTGCCCTGTCACATCGGAAAGGACCTGCTGTTGATAAAGATAAAGCTTTATAGCCGCGATATTTGCTGCTAACAGCAACCTAATGCAGCATTTTCATTTTCGTGCAATTAATGTTAACGTCTGCTACGAAAATTGTCATTAAATACCATTTTAAAATCCATTCAATTTGCATATGCAAAGCCCATTTACCATCACAGAAGATATAGCTGGCACTTCATCACGTCCTTTCTCCAGAATGGTAGCCACTCGGTTTTATAGCAATTTAAGATTTTATATTGAAAGCTAGATGATAATGGATGTCCTTTCTGAGCCCAGCTGACTTAAGCTTTTCCATTGTATATGGAAAAATGCAACCTCAGGACCAGAAACTGTGGGTGTTCATGCTGTACCTCAGTCACAAGGAAGCAAGATGTGGAATTTGAAAGAGCACTGGGTAGGGAGCCCGCCAGCCTGGCTCCAGACCTAGCTCCTGTCTGGTGACAACTGGCCGTGTGACCTCAGGAAAGCCTGTTCACCTCTCTGGGCTTCTATTTTCCTGCTTCCTTTAAATAAGGGCTTTGAATCAGATGACTGCTAATGTCTATGCATTTCAAGATTTTATATTTTTAAATATAAGCACTCTAAGTTGAGAATCCAGGCCAAGCCTTGCTGTGAAGAAGTTGTGTGAACTTGGGGAGGTCAAATGATCTCTTCTCGCCCTCAGCTGGTTGTAATCCTGCCTACCACCCGCACAGGGTTTTAATGACAATGAATAAAATTGGCATGGAGACAGAACATACATGAGAGTCCCAGAATGCTGGGTCACACGGTAACGTCCTATCTACGGAAGACGAAACAGAAGCCTGGGAAGAAAGGAGAGCTGGGGACAAATTTGGGACTAGAACCGCAGGCTGACTCAGCCAGGGCTCCTCCTGGACACCAGGCTGTCTTTGAGACACTGGTGACCAGTGTCTCACGGATGAGTCTAGTGATCTGGTGCACAGCGGGGACTGTGTCCCTCTGCGCTCTGGGCAGTCTACGAGAAAAAGATCCAGGAAGGCACACGTGAAGAAGCGGGCAGGGGTGGCGGGGAAGATGCCCACTGACTTAGGGCATTATTTCAAAGGCGGGGTAGAGACGGTGCACAGACCGGTGTCACTAATAGTGCAACCAGAAGTGACTTTCCAATGTGTCTCCAGTGTCACAGTCCAGGTTCTGCGGGCCCGTGAATAGAAATGCATTTCTGGTGAGTCCATGGCAGGTAAGAAAGCTTACCAAAGAGATGATGCCGAACTTTGAAGAACTAGTAGGTTTTACCAGTTAGGATGGTGAGAAGAGGCAGAGGGAAAAGCATACAAAAGCATGATGGCAAACGCTGAGGAAGACAGCAGGGAGGGTCCTCAGAAAGTTAAACAGAATTCCCATACGATCCAGCAATTCCACTCCTGAGTATGTACCCAGAAATACTGGAAACAGGGATTCGAACAGACTTGTGCATCCATGTTCATAGCAGCATTATTCACAATAGCCAAGAGGTGGAAGCAACTGAGATGTCCATCAATAGATGGTGGATAAATAGATGGTGGATAAACAGAATGTGGTCTAAACACACCGTGGGATATTATTCAGCCTGGTCAATCAGAGCATCAGAATCCCCTGGCCTCAGCGATTGGTTTAGAAGCAGACATGTGACCCAGGACTGGCCAATCAGACCATCAGAATCCCCTGGCCTCGGCAATTGGTTCAGAAGCAGACATGTGACCCGGGACTGACCAATCAGCATATTTCACAAACCCTTCTCACAGTGGTTGTTTCAGGGGTAGGCGTGGCACCAGAGTTGGGCCAAAGAATCTTAACCTGGAGGCTTTTGTGGTTCCTACACCCTTCCCACTGGTGGCACTAAGAAAATAGGACATGAGAAGGGAAACGGCTCCTGGCCATTTTGCCTTGTGAGGAAGAAGTGTTTCAGGGAATGGAACCCAAGCTGGGAAGCACGGCCAACACAGAGAGAGACACACCAAACGCTGATGACATCGCTCGACTGCCTGCATCCAGCTATGCCTGCAGCTGTACCCCTGGGATTTTCAGTCACGTGAGCCGATAAATTCCCCTTTAAAAAAATCAAGGCAGTTTGGGTTGAGAATGATTGCATGCAACCACATTCTACGTTTATAGAATGTCGTGCCTGCCAGGGGTGGGCCATGAGTCACGTGTCGGCCGCTGAACCAATCACTGTGACCAAGATTTGTGAAATACACTGATTGGCCAGGCCTGGGTCACTTGCCCCTCCCTGTAGTCAAGAGCCCCACTCCCACATTGTTCCCTAGTCAAGTCACCGCGGAGCCCCATCCCTACCCCGCCACGGTGAGGAATGGAGCCTGAGGTACCAGCCACCTTACCGTGCCTGGATCCCAAAGGTCATGTTGGGAGGGAGAGAGGGTGGCTCCTTCTTGGGGCGCCGGTCATCCTGGTCGCTGATGCGGATGTCATTGAGCTGACGGTAGAGGAGGTTCTCCCGGGCAGTTACCAGACCCGCTTTCACTGCCCCACGGTTCATGGCAATGTAATCCCGGGTCAGCTCGTGGGGACAGGTGGGCTGCTGCTTAAATACATTCCAGTGTCCAATGGCTGAGGGCAGAGAGAGACAGACCGCGGTGCGGAGGTCAGTCGGGGAAGTGAAGCAATCTGCGGCGTCTAAGAAGAAATGGAGCTGTGGGTCCCGTACCTTCCTCTCCACCCGGAGTCTGCTGTGGGATGGCCCTGCTTGGCCCCCTGCAAGGAGAGGGCTCAGGATTCCCAGAGATTCCAGAGGGAGCCTGAGCACCCTCATGGAGCTGGGTTCATCTGGCCTTGACCTCCTTTGGGTGATCGGAGCTTTGGTCCCACACCGGCTGAGGTCCGGGCTATTTCCCTGACACCTTAGACCTGGGCCCTGCTTGGTCCTCGCTGTGTCGGCCAAGCCTGGGCTGTGGATCCCGTCAGAACGTATTGGGGGACTCTTTTCCTGGAGCGTGGCCAACTGCCCTGTGGGCTCCAAAGCTTGCTCACTCACCTTCGGGGACCCCTCCATCCAGCCCCCGGATGTAGAGTCCATAATTAAAATTAATTCCAGGCAGACTGTAGCTTCTTTCCCGGGGCTTCCCAAGTTCAGCCTGTTGCGGGGAGGACAGAGAGCAAAGGTGAGGGCTGGGATCTCAGACCGGCGGATTATAATCAATTCAGCAATGGGATCACCGATGCCTGCTCTGCCCCAGACCCCGTGGGCGACCTACAGGGCTACTAGCTTGTAGGTGACAGTTAGGCACGAGAAACCTGACTGGCATACTCCTGCTAAGGGGCCGGCGAGGGGAGCAGAGCCGTGGCCGGGCATGGTCCGGTGGGAGAGGGACCGAGCAGTCCCTGCTCTGAGTGCTGTGCTTGGGGTCCAGTCCAGGCCACCAGGCTAGAGCTGGAAACGACTCGGATGCAGATGCGCTGAAGGGCCCGGTTCACAGAGCCTCGTCTGGAGGCCATCGTAGAGGAAGGGACGTCTTTCCTTCCTAACTCTTCATTCCTACCCGGTGACAAGGCCCACTGCCACTCTTGACAGCTGGACAGCTATTCTCACTCTCTGGTGAACTCCTCTCTGACCCCCCAGAAGGGGCTTGTAGGAACAAAATTGCTGTCTCCTCAATCACATTAACCCCCTCGTTAAACAGACAGGGAAACTGAGACCTACAGAGGTGGGGTCATCATCTCATGATCCACGGCTCCCAGAGGCCCGGGCTGGATTTCACACGCAGGTGTGTCTGGCCTCTGGTCATCCGCCTCCCTGCCTCTCAGCTGCGTCCTGAGGTCAGAGGCCCTACTGCAGGGGGCTCGGCACCTCGTCGTCTTCACTATCTATGCGTGCCTGCTGGCTTCTGTGTTCCAGAGGCGATGTTCGGTTTTTTGTAATTCTTACTCTTTCTCCTTCTTCTGTCTCCTCTACATCCCCATCTTTCTGGTCCCCAGGGCCCTGGACACATAGAGGTGGATGGTCAGGGACCACCTGTCACGGCCCATCACTGCCTTTGGAAGAGATCGCTTGCTGGGGCTGGCAGTCCCACCCCACCCAACTCTGCAGCTTCCTCTCCCAGGCTCCCCACACGCCCCAAGGTTTAGGGGGACTAGCCCACTCCTCTCCCTGAGGGGTCCACAGGCAGCCCAACCCCCCGGAATGCCCTGGCCTGCCTTCCCTCTGGTTCTCGATCTTCAAGCTCTCTGACCCCTCAGGTTCACAGTGCCTCCTCCTCACCGACTCCGGCAACTTTTACTGTCTGTTCTGCTCATTCGAGCGTTAGAACCTTAGTGACCTGGATTTCCACGAACACACAGGCCGGGCCAGCCGACCTACACAGGCAGAACCATGGCTTCTATTGCCTTCTTTATCCTAGTGGTATATAGCAGGTGCTCGATAAATGCCTGTGATGAAAAACCTCTTCCTCGTGAAGCCCTCCTGGGTTGCCCTCAGTCCAGACAATCTTCCTTGTATGTGGCACCATAAGGCCCTGAGTGCCACCTTCAGGGGACTTTCAAAATTACACAGTGGCACCTGCTACAGCATAATATGATGCACACTGAGGAAGCCAGTCACAAAGGACCACATATTGTGTGATTTGATTCAACATGACTTGTCTCGAATGGGCAGATCCATAGACAAAAGTAGATTAGTGAGTACTTATGGCTGGGAGGGGGAGCGGAATGGGATGATTGTGGGGTGAAGGCTGAGAGGTGTGGGGCTTCTTCGGGGGTAACAAAAATATCCTGAAGTCGCTTGTGGTGATGGTTGCACAATTCTGCGAATATACTAAAAGCCACTGGACTGTACACTTTAAATGGGTGAATTGTATGGTGTATGAATTATATCTCAGTAAAGGCATTAAAAATTGCAAAGCAGTGTAATTAAGTCGTTAATTTGTGATGATCAGTTTAATGTCGGTCTCCCCCGGTAGGCTGTGTGCTCAGTCTTTGTTTATTTATTTAAAGGTTAATTAAAAATTTTTTTCTTTAAATAGACTATTTTTAGAGCAGTTTCAGGTTCATAGCAAAATTGAGCAGAAGGTGGATTTCGCCATATGCACCCCTCTTTTTTCCAGGGCCCAGCATAAAATAGATGCTAGTAAGTAGGGCTTGAATGAATGAATGAATGGATGAATGAATGCCTACTTGGAGACTCTATGCATTCTCTCCGACGCAGAGCTCGATCCGTTTTTCTCTCTCCTCTTGTCTGTCTCAAACCCAGGCCCTAACCTCGCTCCAGATCTCCAGGCTCCTGAGCTCCGGGTGGGTGCGCAGGGCCTCCGCTGGGTGGCTTGTTTGAACTCCTTCCACACGACTCACTCCGAGCTACAGACAAAGCTCTGGCTTCTCATTTGTTTATGAAAATGATCTGGCCTCTCTGGTGACTGCCGAGGAAGTTAATTAAAATGTGACTTCTCCGGGAGAGGCCCCCCTCCCTCGGGCAGGTGCAGGTGGGCAGACTTCCAGCTGGCAGAGGAACGACAGACAGACTCGGGAGCTGGCTGCCACCCTGGGCGGGAGGAGGGGGCGGAGAAGCCCGCGGGTGCCTCACTGTCCACGCTTTTTAGTGAGGGTTGCCTGGGAATCGGCGACTGCCAAACACAGTGAAGCCTTAGGCTGCAAACATCATCTTGGGAGGAGGTTCACTCAATTTGCTCCATAGATATTTATCTTTCTACCCATTCTGCACCAAGCCCTGTGCCTGGAGTTTGAAGGTGAACAAAGAAGACGCATAGCCCCTGTCATGATGAAATTCACTGTCTTGCAAAAAGGACAATAGAGCAAGTAATGACAGTCCAGCGCTGAAGGGGGTTTGATGGAGGGGCCACAGGTTGCTTCCAGCTCTAAAATCTCTGAGTCCATAGAGTGAGACGAGGTATTTGCCACATGTATCTGACAAACGACTCTTATCCAACATATGTAAAGAGCTGCTACAAATCAATAAAAGGCAGACATTCTATTGAAAAACAAGCAAAAGATTTGAATAGGCACTTCATTAAGAGGATATCCAAGTAGCCAAGACCCATATTGCCAAGGTGTTCAGTTTCTGAGAAACGTAAAGTAAAAACTCAAAGCTATTGGTGAAAATATGGAGCAACCGGAATACTCATGCGCTTGGCGGGTGTCTAAGCTGGTACAACCATTGCGGAAAAGTGTTTAGCGGTATCTATGTTAAAGCTCAATGTATGCCTGCTTGATAACCGCCTCTTGGACACCCAACAGAAACAAGTGCCCGTGTCTACCCACAGGTGTGTCTGAGAGAGTACGTAGCAGCTCAGTCTGGGATAGCCAACCACAAACAACCCAAAAGGCCATCGCAGGCGAATAAAAACGCTATGACTTGTTCACTCCATAGGCTACTCCATAGCAGGCGGAGTACTTGGCCCCCTGGAAGATGTTCAGTCACGTCTGGAGTCATTTGGGGTTGTACTCCCCTCCATCTGTTGAATAGCTAAGGATGCTGCTAAACACCCACAATGCACAAGACAGCCCCACGCCCAACAACAAAGAGTGACCTGGCCCCAAATGCCAGTACTGCCGAGGCCAAGACGCTGCCCCACACGAGGGGAATGAGCACACCTGTACGCAAGCGCACAGGTGGTTCACGCACAGCGTGGGGTGAAAGTAGCCGGACCTGTGAGGCAGCCGCTGCCCCACGCAGATGAAGTCCAATCGCAAGCACGACTGATCTGGTTTTAGGCATCGGGAGCGTGGGGCGGGGATAGTGGCTGAGAGCAGCACAAGGAGGCTTCAGGGGCGCCGTCCTGCTGCTTTCTGACCCGAGGCCCTCTCTGGGACTGCGTATCTGAGTCTGGGGGCGAGAGGGGTCACATCCAGAAATCCCTAAGGATGCGACGCTGGCTTTCCCCTCTCCTCTTTCATTTCGAGTATCGCCAGGTGGAGTCGGAAGTCCCCCCAAATTTGGCAAGAAGCAGACTCAGCTCCTTCCGCCCTGGCAACTGGACTTCCTTCCCTCCCCCACAGGAAGTACCAGAGAGGGCCACTTGCAAGAAACGCAGAGCCCCCTGGCCCTGCCTCGGTGTGGCGTGAGAACATCTGCAGAGCCTTGCGTGGTGGCGGGGGGATCCGCCCAAGCCCGAGCTGTGGGATTTGCCCTGACCTTTCCCTCCATTCCCCTCGTCCCCAAATGCCTCCCGTGCTTGAATTTACACCCTTGGCAATTCCATCCTTGAGGTTCAGGGACATGTGTCTCCGAGTCCCTGCGTTCACAGGTGACCGTCCCAGAGGAGCGGCGTCCTCGCCCATTAGCGGTTCGTCTGCCCAGTGAGATGAGCTGACTGGACATGACAACGTGGCCCCTCCCTGGTGCCATCACCATCGGCCACAGCAGCACCTGTAACCGTGGAGGACCAGCGCCAGGGCCCACGGATGTGCAATCCCGCAAAGTGGCTGCGACCGTCCCGGTTTCAGGTGGGGAAACGGAGGCCCAGACAATGTTAGCGCCGTCTTTGCTCAGAGCCGCACAGCCAACGAGTGGCCGAGGCTGGATTTGAGCCCACGTCTGAATCCACATGGTCTTGCTGCCTCTTAACGACTCGCTTGGCATTTCGCATACGCTACCCAGACTGTTCACTCTCTCTCGGGTGCCTAGATCTTAGTGCTGCAGGCAAGGGTGTGCTCATACCCCCCCAACACCCCTAAACACACAGAGCACGCTGCCTTATGCCCAGGAGAGCTCCAGGCAAAGTCTGCTCTTCGATGTCTAGACTGGGGGTTAAGGAAATTGCTGTCGCTTCAGGGAACACTGCGGGCCTGGAGCGGCCTGGACACAGGACAGCTGAGTCACGCCTGGGTCTGCGGGAAGGTGGGCAGGAAGGGGAACGATGGCACGGATCTCGGACTGGCATTTGGAGGAGAGCTGACCGGGAGAAGATTCCCGTGGAGCAGGCGGCGGGAGGGGGCAGGAGAGCCGAGGGTCCCCCAAGGGCTCCCCAGAAGCAGGAAAGAGGGTCCAGCCAGAGGTGGGAGGACCTGTCACTGACCCTGGGCCTCCTTCGCACCGTCCAGAAGCCTACAGAGAGAAGCTGGCTGACAGACGGGTCTGCCGGCCTCTGGGGACCTCGGGGGAGCTGTGCGGAGCCAGCTACGG